TGTCCACTCCTCATTGCAGTTGGTATTACCTCAATACCACCACAATGGGACTCTCTGAGCCCGTGTACAGCATGAGACCCTTCCATAACATGAGGGCAGAGAACACCACACATGCCAGGTTGAGCGTTGACGTCATGAACTGAAACACAAAGGGCGCTCCCGGCGAACGGATCTCTCGTCCCATGAAAGTATTTAGGCGGTCGTGCCGCTTCCAAGTAATAAGAAGATGATGATTTGAGAAGAGTTAAACGACTACACAGTCCTTACCCTCCTCGGATTATGCAACACCGACTTGAACTCCTCAGCGTACACTCCCAACATGTTGTCGAATGGATGGCTAGGAAAAGAAAACTAAGCAAGAATCGATACTACAGCGGTGAATGCATCTGATAGTCGCAGTCGAGCGACTCACGCGAGTAGGGCACACCCGAAGAGAAAAGAACCGAATCAAACTCGTAGAGAGATATGAGAAAAATGTAAAGGGCAACCAGATCCCCAGAGTGCTATACAGTTGGAGGGTGATTACAACACTACCAGATCAAAGATTCTACGTACAGTTCGTCCCGATCCGTTGGAAGCTGGATGGGATAGCACTACATCGCTGCTATAGACCACCGAGCGATTCGAAGATCCATACGCTGTCTCCTCCACGACTACGTTGTATTGGACTACCGTTTACGCTTCCCTCATGTCCGTTCGAAACACACCGACCGTGGGCCTGTTTCACAAGGATACTTAATTTAAGGCGCCTTAGCGTGTTTACTTAAGTAGTGAAATCGGATGTCATAATTACTCAAGGCGTTACTTTAGTTTAAGGCGCAATTTGCTCCTATGAAACAGGCCCCGTATGCTATGATCGATCACTTCGTGGCGCAACTTCGTCGTTGTGACGCGCACATCGGGAAGCGAGTTTGATATCTTATATGGTGTATGTCATCTTCACAACAATTGTCGGAATAATTCCTCTGTAAAGAGTCCGAGCCACTCGGTGAATATCCTTGATGGTTGCTCTACACCCCTACCAGATCTAGTTCGTTTTTGTAACCATCAATTTCGTCGGGACGCGCGAAGTTGGAGGTATAAATCTGAAACGGCACTCGCAATGCTCATGTTTTTCGCATGCTCGTCTGCGGTCGATAGAAAGTAAGATTTCTACAGTCAATTCGGGCTCCTCCCCTACGGAGAGCACCATGTGTTGAATCACAACGGAATATGCTGTAAACAGTTTGAAGCAGCTGACACGGCTAGAGGCGCGTACTTGAGCTCACTCCAAGCCGTTGTGCTTCATAAACCTCACCATCAGTAAACTCTCTATGCGTGATTGCAACCACTATTCAAGCACGACGTTAACTGAACCGTGGGTATGTCAGCCCGGCTAGGGTCTTCCTCAGATGTTTCGGAACCAAGTTCGAATACTGCTGATTGTCTTTTAACCCACTTCGCACTTGGTGACCAACGCCGCGAATATCATCGTAAAGGTAGCGAATGAGGTTGCACTCAATGACCTTCACCTTCTCGTGGACAGAAATGACATCGTCTATTATAGATAAGAGACAAAGATGACGATGGTGAACGGACACCGTCTCGAGCGTGCTCAGCAAGGTTTCTTGCCGCACCACAAAATGTTTGAGTGCTTCAGGGTGTCATCAATGCGACATTAGTCCGCCATAGCAGTTTTTTTATAGTTCGTTCTCGATCCGACACTGCCCACAGCAGATAGAGATGAAGCTTGATTCACTACTTTCCAGTGTCACACAGCTGACTTCACTGGGCCAAGTATTCTCGAACGCGCTCAGTCCTCTATTGACCGTATGTCTCTGGTGAGCGCCAGTGTAGCCGCTGCCAGCCAGGGCGCTGCTGGTGCCATCGTTGGAGCCCTCATCGCCAGTGTCACCGACCCAGTCACCAACAGGGTGCTCGTGGAGAGGTGTTCCCTCAAGCAGGTGAGTCTTCTCCTGTACGGCACAGGCTGATGAGGCCGCATTGCCACAGGCACTGGCTGAGGTTGATGTCGAGAGGTCTATAAAGTACTTTCAAACCACTCTGCCCACCAATTTCATCAAGTTCCCCCTATTCGAAGTCCTCAACGAGATCATTCGCCGCGTCGACATCCCCAAGGAGCTGCGCGGCGTCATCACCGGTGGCTTTCCCGACGCAGGTCCTCTGCTGGTACATGTGTGGGTAGGTATCATCTTCACCACGGCTACCCTGCCCATCACCAACTACCGCTTCAACAAGTCTATGAACAGAGAAGTGGCCCTCACCGACCCTTCTCTGTGGACAGCATACCTCCCCACCGTGGTACGAGTCGTTGCTTCTCGCGATGCTCTAGGTTGCACCCGTTGTAGGTTCGGGACGTTATCTACGCTAATTCTCGTAACACCATAGCTGCCTTTATGGCGAGGACTTTCCCTAACGCAGCGGACTCGACCGTTGGTATGTCCAACTGGAAAACGTCATGCTGTAAATCTTTTTAGGGCGCATATCTACCATGTTTGTTACGGTGGTTTTGGCCTGCATCATCTCCGCACCTGGCAACGAGTGGAGAGGATACTCTCTCCAGAGACCGGACAGGAAGAAGAGCCCGAAAGAGTTCTTTCAGCTTGAGAGGTTCCTGAGGTGAGCTCTTCTCTTATCAAACGCAGCATCTTATGCGTAGGTCAACCATCGTGGGAGCCTGTGTGATGGGAACGAGTCTTGGCGTGGCGACAGTTGTCGGGCCTCCGGTGCAGCAGGCTCTACCAAAATTGAAGGATCCCAAGGTGAGTGTGTGTCGCTCTCGTATCTGTGAGGTTGGGCTCTCTGAGGTATTTTCGATCATCGTTCTGTTGGCTGTATACTTCCTCGCTAAGAAGGGTTGCCGTAAAGAGGAGGAGGCCAAGGTGACTAGCACATCTGAGTCTTCTTCTGCCTGAGAGTGCGATGATGAGCTGCCTCGTGTATCATGCGCGTTTTCATATTTCCCTGGCGTGTCTCGTTACTACACTAGTCGTCCAAGCAACCGCCAGCTTCGTTTGGACGATTCGATTTGACAGCACATCACCAAACTTTTCATCCTTCGCTGGAGCACCTTAGACATCAGCTATTATGGGGTATAAGGAGCATGAAGTGGTTTTGTGGAGGATCGAATAGCATCAAGTTGTGGATACCAGGATGGGAACAAGAATGGGCAACTTCTTTGCCGAAATATTCAACTTGTCAATAAAAAGCTGGTGGTGGTAATCTATGTCCTCATCTGCTTTTGTCAAGAGGGTCGCGGGAATAATTATTCAAAGATGACGTTCTCTCGATGACTGTAGTCTCCGACAAGCTTGACAACGAAGCAGATCATATCGCATCATTTGCTGCAATGATTGGAACGATATGGCGGCTCATCAGGAGAGAATGTTATGCTTCCTAGACGGGAATTCTTGGGAGGAAAGAATCATCAATCTTCACGCGAAGAATAGCCGTTATCCTTCCCCCAGTATCCAGGCCTGCACTGAGACTATGACTCTGGCGAAATGTCGTCGAAGAGAATATCACTCAGTCACGCTGCCGCCGATTTTGCATATGGTACTGGCTATCGATCCGAAGCTTCGAGTTCATGGGGAGCGCACTCTACAGTCAGCGTGTGAATCTCTTACATCACAATGACACATTACAATGCATAGGTAACCTATGATAGGTTGCCCTTGATGAAATTCAGGCGTTGTCCGAGTGATCGGCCTTCACGCGATTTAGTTCGTCATCAATTCCCCAACAACTTGTAATATTATAAGC